AAACATGTCTTGAAATTTCGAGTAGAAATTCTCTCTCAGTGTTGTACATATACCGCCGTATGGTATGCTCAATTTATCCTGGAGAGATTCGAGAGGATTGGTTTTCGAAACTGGAACAACGGGATGCTATCTCAGTAGAGATCACCTTGGGCAGAAGGCCATTTGGGGAACACCGTTGTTCCTCGCTTACGAAGAACGAAGAAATATGTGATTTCAAACGTTTTTTAACTCACCTTATTACTCGTGGCATCGATTCCGGATAAAAATACCAGTTGAGCAAGAAACAGAGCTGTGCAAAGATTTAGCCTGACTTGGATTCCTTCGGCTCTGATCTTCCTGTTTAAAAGTACTCAATAAACGAAATGGACATGACATTTTTCCACGCCACAACCCGGTGGTCTAGAGCAAACACTACTGGGGAGGAATGGAAGAAAGGTGCCTATATAGTTTGTAATATATTGTTGGGTTGTTCTCTGCTTGTGTTCCATTACTACAAAATATGTTTAAAAGTTAATTTTAGGAGGTATTTCTGTGTAAAATACCTCAACTTCAGTCGAAAAAAAACGAGACATTTTGGTGCTATAGTTCTTCAATTACTAATGTCGTCTTAAAACAAATTTTTTTAGAAACAAAACAAAACCGCACAGCTAGCGTGTTCTGCAAAATAATATTTCTCGCACTTTGATGGTAATTTACGAATCTAGAGATTTACCATGCTCTCATGTATAGGTAAGATTTTTTTTTCTTTTCTTTCTTGTCTTTTAGTAGTACTCACATAAATGTCACATAGAAGAAGATAACCATTACTTCCCTAAAGAGGGACAAGGAGCAACCAATATAGGTGATGATGAGCAAAGCCCTTCTGTGCTCTGGTGGAATGTTATTCTCCTGAGAATCACGAGAAAAGAAGGAAATAGGTGGAAATGAGATAAAAAATTACAAACTGGTTTGGAAATTATGACTTACAAGTTTTGACTTTGTTAAACATGCAACTTGCTCCATAATTAGTTCGTCCATAAACGAATAAAGGGGGAGAATGCAATAAGCTTAGAAAATGCCAAAAAATAATTCGAGACACAATCACGAGAACTGCAAACAACCTTAGGAGGTTGTGCATAAGCGACACACATGTTTTTT